ATTTTTTGCTGTGGAATTTTCTCTCTGTTGCAATGTTTTTAGTTTATTTAATCGGGGGTTTCCAGGCCTGGGTTTTACCTTGTTTGTGACGACAATCACAAGTAGAACTGGTTTTATTACACAGCTCGCAGCCTGGGTTATTTTAAAATATAATTAAAGTTAAATATACGAGTTTTTAGGTGGATTTATACATAATATTGTGAACTGAAGATTTACTTGTAAGTTGGATGTACTTCGGGCATTACTGAATTGTATTCAAAAATCCTTTATATTATGGATTTAAAATAAAAAAAGAGGCTACGTAACATTTTGTCTTGTTAAAAGTAATTTTTTTAATGTGATACAGAGATCAGAAAATCTAATCTATTTTTGGTTACAAAATTAAAACATTACGAAATGTTTATATGCACTTCTTTTTTTAAATGAACCTTAAGAACATGTGTTGTGGGCGATCAGATATTCTTCCGTGGGTTATTATACAAACAATACAAAACCATTCATGATTTTAATTTGAAATAAATAATCTATTTAAATTATTGTTGCCTGATAAAATAATTATAAATAAAGGTTATAAAAAATAAATCAGTGGCGCTACAATCTTTTTAGATCTGGGCCTCAGATTTCTGTCAAGTATATCGGTAGTATACACACGCCTTCGACTTTTTGGTTCTAAGACAAGCCGGTTTCCTCACGATGTTTTAATTCACCGTTGGAGCGATTGTTAAAATAAAAAATATAAATATAACCCTAATAACCTTTAAAAACAACAAATTAGCAATATTTTTTGTACAGCAAGAAGACCATTCAAAATGTCTGTTTTTGTCTTTGTTTCTGTAGTTTATAAGATGTAGACAATAAAATATAAATAATCCTCTCAATTGGAGCTGAAGTGCAATCTGGATAAAACAAATCGGAAGGGAACAAGTAATTCGTTGAACTGAGGTTTGTTATTTTGAGGTTAGGTTTTTTTTTTTTTTTTTTATAGAACGGGGGGCAAACGGGCAGGAGGCTCACCTGATGTTAAGTGATACCGCCGCCCATGGACACTCTCAATGCCAGAGGGCTCGCGAGTGCGTTGCCGGCCTTTTAAAAATTGGTACGCTCTTTTCTTGAAGGACCCTAAGTCGAATTGGTTCGGGAATACTTCAGTGGGCAGCTGGTTCCACATAGGTTGGTCTAAAATTCGTTATAAAGAGGAAAAAAAAAACAAACAATAACGATTGTTTAAGAATCACATACTATGAGACTAGGAGTCATACATTGATGGGAACTTTATATAATATAAAGGTTTTTGTTGACAAAATTCGATAATTAGAGGTATTTATACTTTTTCTTGATAGTTGAAAATTCAAATCACAAAGAATTTGTTAAATCGAGGAAGTCGTTATATTAAGGTTGCAGTATACGGTGTATTAAACACTTAGCTTCGAAACATTAAACAAATCATATCATATCTAGTTCGCCTCGGCGTACCACTAATGGGTAATGTACATATTTACATACTTAGCCATAATGTTATTGTCATAGCAATTTTCTGCGAACGCCAAAGGAAAATAACTTGAGGTGACACGAGTTCAGACTGTTCGTGGCTATAAAGTTTAATTATATATGGTCTGATGTTAATATTTGCGAAAAAACTAATAAATTAGTTATATGCATTATTATGTGCTTTTTTTTTTTATTGTACCAGTGTTGGGCTAGTGGATTTAGTGTGTGACATTCCAGAAATCGTAGGTTCGAATGCCGTCTGTGCACCAATGGACTTTCTGGCGAGACATCGTGAAGAAACCGGCAACATGCCTTAGACCCAAAAAGTACCATCGTGTCTCAGGCATAGAAGGCAAATACAGAAATCTGAGGCCCAGACCTAAAAGATTGTAGCGCCACTAGTTTTTATATAAATTTTTTTTATAGACCACAAAATTATGACAAACACATGCCATACAAAATAGACTTATGTGTGTGTACTCGACAAGATTACTTAATTCCACGCCAATAATAGCGAAAAATATAACCATGATTTTTTTTTAGAAAAATTTCAGTTTGTTTTTGTGTAAACTTATTTTAAGTAACCCCTATTGCGGTAAAAACCATTATGATACATTCATGTGAGAAATGAAAGTCCTAAAAAAATTACATCAATACTAATCTACAATCTGTATTGTTGCTCGTAACATCACAATCTCCTAATCAGCGTTACTCGTACGTTCAACTTAAAGAAAAAATTGTTTCATATTTCTTGTACCTAGTTTTAAGTTGAAGTGAAGAATTACATGTCTACTGTTTGATAATTTTTGTTATCTATCCACCAAATACAAGTGACTATCCCATATTTATTCAGTGTTTTGCCAAAGGATCGTTTAGATATATATATACACCCAAAGGTTCCGATAACTTGGAGAACCTTGTGGTCTCGTGCCTCCCACTCGGGTAGAGTGGCCCACCCCAAAAACGATTCTCTGCTCTCTGGACCGAACAAGTTTAGTATGAATATGTGGGAATATAAGTATATTATTATATATATATTTGGAATATTTTTGCAGAAGTGGCAACGCTCTTGCGAGTTTTCTGATAGATAAATATAAAAAAAACGATTCTCTGCTCTCTGGACCGAACAAGTTTAGTATGAATATGTGGGAATATAAATATATTATTATATATATATTTGGAATATTTTTGCAGAAGTGGCAACGCTCTTGCGAGTTTTCTGATAGATAAATATAAAAAAAACGATTCTCTGCTCTCTGGACCGAACAAGTTTAGTATGAATATGTGGGAATATAAATATATTATTATATATATATTTGGAATATTTTTGCAGAAGTGGCAACGCTCTTGCGAGTTTTCTGATAGATAAATATAAAAAAAACGATTCTCTGCTCTCTGGACCGAACAAGTTTAGTATGAATATGTGGGAATATAAATATATTATTATATATATATATTTGGAATATTTTTGCAGAAGTGGCAACGCTTTTGCGAATTTTCTGATAGATAAATATAAAAAAACGATTCTCTGCTCTCTGGACCGAACAAGTTTAGTATGAATATGTGGGAATATAAATATATTATTATATATATATTTGGAATATTTTTGCAGAAGTGGCAACGCTCTTGCGAGTTTTCTGATAGATAAATATAAAAAAACGGCTTTAGTATTACTCACGTGCGTAAAGGTTGCCGAATACAAGGTGGAAAGGTTAAAGTTTGGTGGACTCAGTTTCCGCACTTAGACTCTCACTAGGTCCGTTGTGTGAAAAGGCCTGGCTAACTGGACCTAACTCCTTCCAGAAGCACAGAAGTCTCCTGGGCACTTCGCAGGCTTCACGGAGTGACCTCACTGCGCCGAGCATTTCTGTACGTTGTTTAGCCACAGCCTCGCATTCCAGGACTACGTAGGTGACTATTTCCTGTGTGCTGAAACCGCCTCTGCACATGGGGCTGTCTGTCACGCCTAGGACAAAAATATGTGTATTAAGGAGACAGGGGGGGAAACTATGCTAAGGAAAGAAAGCTATGCTATCTCGTATATTCCATCAAAAATTATTAAAAAAGTTGCGGGGCAGTCCCCGCAATGTTTAAACACCTTTATCTAAAAAAATACCATATTTTAACCTACCATATTTAATTTTATTACACAAAAATAGTCTTTATTCTATTGTCATACGAATGCAAATCCTGTGTTTAAAGTATTCAATTTAAAATAATTTGTTTCTAAGATTTACACTCCTTATATGGACCTCGCCTTGAATCTGACGGCAGAGGTCAAATTATGCATTTTATTTGTTTACATTTGTCTATCCTTAATTTAAGGTTGCTTTGTTTGTATACTAGTTATTTAACCCAGTTTTACATCAAAACTTAGTTTCTAAGAACCGAACTATAACGCCAGTTCGGCTCTGTACAGAAAACAAAGTTTATGGCGAGAGAACGTTGAGGTTTTGGTAATAAATGGTCAATGGTCAGTTCCTAGATAGCCTAAAACCAACATAAATTTAAGATGAAAAAATACATTGTAATATTTAATGTACATATAAAACAAAACGTATGTATAATTATCTATTCATAAAAAGTACAATTTAGTTTAATTTGTATTAATTATAATTTTTGTAACCAAAAAATTTCGTCGGGTAAATGTTAAATAACATTAATTAGGTTCGGCAAACGCGTTTATGTCTTTTCTACTGAATTTTGTGTTTCGCACGTAACAAAATACTTTTTATAATTCTATAGCAGTTGAACTATTATATCAAAAACCGGTTTTCCACTAACATATAACATATATATGTAAGTTTACACCCGTATTCACAGTAACTCAGATCGATGTTTGAGTAACTTTAGATTAGGTATGTCTTAAATTTGAAATAGCACATGAAATAGGTTTAAAATAAAAACTGTCACGTTCTTGTTAGGAAGAAACTTTTAGCTGCAATAGCGTTTAGACTCCTAAGTTATTTTTTTTTATTCTTCTCCTGTTATCTAAATAAAGTGTTTATTTTTATTATCAACATTTAATTGATATTATTAAATTAGATTAATAAATTTTTCGCGTCTTTAACTATAAATTATAAATCTAATCTAATTAAAAAATCTGTCAATATTTGACAATTTGTTTACAGAGTAAACAGAAAACTACTTAAGTTTAATCTCAGTATTACGATTGTTAGTCTGTGGATAACCAAAATATAATTAGCGACATGACGAAATGTCTTCCCAGAACGCCCAAAACTAGTTTACATTGACGAAAAGATCATGATATTTTGTCGTATAAAAACTAAAGTTGACGTCCGGCCAATATAGTTGACACCTGTGATCCTAGCCGAGTGTTTTAAAAAAATAAGGTATTTTTTGTACAAGTTGTAGAGCATTTAATTGGCATATAATAAAAACTTTGTAAGATTAATAAAAAAGGAAAAAATTGCTTAAATTTTGATTAGCAAAGTACGTTTTAATTAATTTGCTGTGTTTTTTATTTAAGTTTTATGTATATTTTTTTTAGAATGAATGCTTTGTTAATTTGCGTCTTGGGAGTGCTGGCTGTTACCGCGGCGTTACCAGCGGATCATTACACAGATCGCTTTGACAATATCAATATTAATGATATCCTGAATAACCCAAGGCTCCTCAATGCATACATCAATTGTGTGTTAGACAAGGGAAAGTGTACCAACGAGGGAAAGGAGCTGAAATGTAAGTCTAATAAATATTTAGAATTGACGTACTTCAGCGTCAATTCTTCTTCTTTGTGTGGAGCGTATATTCCCTCTTAATCTCACTTTTCTCTTAGAAACAGGCCTATCTAAGACCCACAAAAGGGCGTGTGTCAGGCACAGGTCACCTTCTTGCCTATTAGCAAATACAAACGATCATGCAACAAATACAGAAATCTAGCTCCAAGGCCAAGCGTTGTTGTGCCACTGATTATTTATATTTTTAAAAATCTTAGCAGTATGAAAAGAATTAGATTATATCGGCTAGATACTTGGCGACTTCATTGAATTCCTTGCTATGAGAATAAGAAAATTAGTTTCAATATACATAATCATTGTGAACATCAATGTAATAGAGAGGAATTTATCTAATTATTAGGTCTACCATATGGTAGAAATAAGCTATTTTGTATATAAATGTAACCTATAGACTCTGGCTATAGTTATGTGCTGCGATATTGCGGGCTCCTTGACTGTGAGGAAGTTACATGAATCTGGTTACACGTGTGCATATCCTTTCTATAACATATTTTCATAAGTTAGATTGCACTCATTTAAACACGTGTGATGTTTGAGAGAAAAGTAAAATAAATATATTAGATAATTTAAAGTTCTGAACTGCAGTGGTAGTTAGCAAGTCTCTAACAAGTTTTAAAGGTGCATAAGTAGTAGTACTATCGTAAGACAGAATAAAGAAGAGCAAATTCATACTAACTCATTGCGTCGATTTTTCGTTAAAGGTTAAATCTTTTTACAGCTCACATTGGCGACGCTCTAGCGACAAATTGCGAGAAGTGCACGGACAAACAGCGCAAGGGAACTCGTACCGTCATCGGCCATCTCATCAATAACAAACCTCAAGAGTGGGAATTATTAACAGCCAAATACGATCCCCAAAGAAAATACTCAGCGCAGTATGAAAAGGAATTGAGAACTATCAAGGCTTAGAACAGATTTTAATTCATGTTTTTGTTTTGTAAACTGATTTACATTTTTATTTATTATGACTGAATAAAACTTAAGTTCAACCGGTTTTTTTATTTTGCCCTTCGTATATATAGCAGACACTTAAATATCAGTTGTGAAATAAAATTTTGATTTGTGTTGGCCGTTGATACGCTCATCCCTGAAGTCGTAGATTCGAACCCCGTGCACCAATGGACTTTTTTATGTTTACATTTAATTCTCGATTGTACGAGGAAGAAAACATCGTGAGAAAAACCTTCGGTCTATAAAGCTCACGGCGTGTGTCAGGCACACAAGGCTGATCATCTGCTTGCCATTAGATATCTTAATATATATATTTCTTCTGTGCGTGTGTATGTGACTGAACTCCTCTCAAACGACTGGACCGATTTTGATGAAATTTTTTGTGTGTGTTCAAGGGGATCTGGGAATGGTTTAGATTCACAAATCAGCCCGGCAGATGGCACTGCAGTCGGTACTTTCATACTTTGCTTAATATCCTAATCGCTTTAAATATCATGCAGGACAACGTCTGTGGGGTCCACTAGTATATATAGAAATCTGAACAAAGACCAATGCTTATAGAGCCAATGTTTTTATTTTGAGAAAAATTTAAGTCTTTAGCATCATTATGTAGAACCAGGAGCCCACTGAAGTATTTCCGAACCAATTCGACTTAGGGTCCTTTAAGTAATGAGGGTACCAATTCTCAAAAGGCTGGAAGCGCGCTTGCGAGTCTTCTGGCAGTGCGAGTGTCCATGGGCGGTGGTTTAACTTAACATCAGGGGAGCTCCTGCCCGTTTGCCTCCTGTAACATAAGAAAAAAAAAATATTAGTCAGATTTACTCTGGCTAATATATACCCGGAACCTTGCTTAAAACCTTAACGAGTTTTAAAGCATAATAATTCAAATGTAATGTTTTATTTGGTTAACATGTTACGGTTTTATAAATTAAGCTTAAACATATAAATAAACAGGTTCTTTGCAAATAATATGTTATTTTTAAAGTACTTTTTATAAGCAACAGTGTTGGCCTAGTCGCTTTAGCTTGCGACTCTCAACCCTGAGGTCGTAGGTTCGATCCCCGGCTGTGCACCAATGGATTTAATATTTTCTCGAACGGTGAAGGAAAACATCGTGAGGAAACCAACATGTCTTAGACCCAAAAAGTCAGTCAGGCACTGGAGGCTGATCACCTACTTGCCTATTAAATTTAAAAATGATCATGAAACAGAATCAGAAATCTGAGGCCAATACCTTTAGAGGTTGTTGCGCCACTGATTATTATTATTACTTTTATAAGTGTCTTTCCTCCAACTTCGATTTTGATCCCTTTGGAGTTTAGTGTTTAAAGTAGGTTCATTGCAAAACAATCTTGTGTAATCGATTGTACGCAAATATATTTTCTAATTTAAAATTTAAACATTCATTAGCATAAGCCTTAACCTATGTGATGTCAGATGACTCAAAGTCTGAAATCAGAAAACGGAACAAAAAATCTCCTTAGTAACGATGTTAAAATAATTCCTATTAAATAAAATATTATTTTCTACATAAGGTAATTGTGTTTTATTATGTTTTAATAACGTTTAAAAGGGCAAATTATATTACCAGTTTAAATGACATTTTGATTTTCAATTATAAAAAGTGTTAGTTTATGAATTATAAAAAGATTCATAACATTTATTAAAATCTAAATAACAATCAAATATAAAGTATTTACAATATTATTAACCTACATAGTAATATTAGTAATAATTAAAAATTAATGAAAAGAAAATTAGTCCAAATTTAATAAGTTTGGTCCCTGTGGCAGTGTACCTTTAACGCTGGCAGCATTTCCTCGCTGTATTGCGATACTTATTCGTTGAGCTTTATTTACTAAGATAGATAACGATAGTTACTATAATATAGTTGCCAAATTACATATTTATGTTCTTCACGAAAACATCGTGAAACCACAGCGGTAGAGTCCAACCACAACTTTCAAAACCATAATAATTACGAGTAGGTTTGTAAATAAAATATCTGTTATATTACAAAAGAGGTTACTGTGGTATCTGCTTTTCTCCAGTGGCATCTCGAAAAAAAGTTGCCAACATATGAAACCAGGCTTGTCAGTGGAGAATCGCAGATAATTAATTGATATATCGTTTGCAGTTAAGATATTTAATAATCAGATTGATTGCCCATCCCTTCTATCTAAATTTAAATTTCGTATACCCTCTCGATACATCCCATTATTCCATTTGTCCCTCCTTTCCGTAGAATGCGTTTTGGTCAAAGCTCACCGATGTCCAGATTAAGCATTCTGATAAACGAGCTAGGTCTTAATAGTTGCTCCCCTCACACTTTAAAATGGATTTTTGTTTAGTGTAATTTTTTATTAGCAATTGTTTTTTTAAATGTTTGTTTTGTTTAATAATTATTTTGATTAATATTTGTATGATCTTTACATGTCATGTTTGCCTTTAAGTGCTTGTCACATTAAAAATTGTATTTTAAGGTTTTACCAATGTATCAGTGTGCTGAGCGTTGTGAAGCTTTTATCAATAAAAACAAATTATTACATATTATCGTAATAAATAAGGCCGAAGCCTTAATTGTCTGTAGGTCTTTGCCCTATATTCTAGGACCATTTTAGGGTTTATACCGTAACCCATGACTAAAAAGTATTGATGCTCTAGATAAAAAACACATGAATGTTCGTCTTTGTCGTAATAGGTCTTGTTTCATCATACCTTAAAAAATTTATATCTCTTTTTTCCATAGCATATTTTTAAAATTTATATATTAATTCTCATATAGATTATTTACCAGAATCTACTTTATGGAGGTGTTTGTGCATAATAATGTAAATACAGTATACTTTTGACGCAAACAGTTTCCAAGTAATCACGAAGTAAACGGACAAAAATAAGATATTGCATGACATTGCGATTTACGTCACACGGATAAATCGCATACTATTATGAATTCGTTTAAAAACTTTCGCATTTTTAACTATAACTTTGATTCTTCATTTTATTTTTTATTTTAAAACATAAAACAAAAATCTTCTCTTGTTTTTGGCTTTTGATTTGTATCAATTTTTCTTTTTATTTATATCTATTAATAACTCTAATTTTACTCACATGACCACCGCATCAACCAGTTAAAATCTGATCAAGGATATGGAAAAGGGTTGGTGCACAGCAGGGATTGGAATGCCTGGTCTCAGGGTTGAGCTGAGGTTAAAACAGCTCTAAGAAGTCGTAATAAAAACAACTCGGTTCTAAATATGTTTCTTGGTCAATTCTGGAGTTGTTAGTATTATCTATGTAATGTTATAAGTAATAATAATAGTAATATTATAACTCGAAAATAAAAAGAGACTTTTTTATTGAGTCTGAACGTCCCGGTTAATCTCAAAATTAAGATTATATTTATTGATTTATTATCTTAAAACATTTTGACGGCTCATTGGTCTAGTGGTTAGTACCCCTGACTGCGAATCCATGGGTCCCGGGTTCGATCCCCGGCTGAGACAAACATCGATGTGATGAGCATTTGGTGTTGTGCTTAGGTCTTGGGTGTTTAAATATGTATTTATATATCTATCTATAATATGTATGTATATCCGTTGCCTAGTACCCATAACACAAGCTTTACCACTTTAACATGGGACTAGATCAATTGGTGTGAATTGTCCAATCAAAAAAAAAATTCCCTAACTCCGTCTACAAATTAATTCTACTTGTATTATTCATAAGATTAAAAAAAAGCACAGAATATAGACATTTGTTTATTTCAGTAACCAGAGCCTAAAGTTATAATAATTAGATATAATACTGTATACAGTACGTTTAATTAGAAATTTGTTATCTTATCTGGCTAATTTGACAAATGATTTTCGGTTATCGGACATACAAACGACCTTTTATTCGTGTCCCGTGTCCAGCTTCCCTATAATTCTCAGATCATGTTTCACACACATATGCAGAAATCTTAAAAACAAAATAAACCACTTAATATTATACGTAATAGAATAAATAAAATAAAACATTGAACCCTACCATTAATTTATGCGGAAAATTAAATTTCAAATCCAATTTCTTAAAGCCAATAAAAAAGCTCCCATTACTCATGTGACGTCGAAAAATACGTAGAAAATGCAAATTGTTCGTTTTTGTAACGAGATTTAAAACTATATATATTGACTTATGAAGCGTAACGATTATCAGTTGTTTGAAGTGAAACGGAGCCTACACATCTAAGTAAGTAAGTTTTAAGTGAATATCAAAGGACGATTAAATATTTTAAGCGATGTTTATCGTGGGATTTTGTATTTAGTTATCTCTTTATTAATTGGTGGCCTGACAGATCGCTTTATAGCGATATAAGGCTATTGTTTCAATGGTTTTAAAATGTTTTTGTTTTGTACCTTTGAACCACTCATTATTAGAGACATTATTGTTAAGGTCCGTTCTAGTAGCCTTTACAATCCTTTAGTATAACCGGGCTATGCAATCCATAGAGAGCAGGTATAGAACCTAACCAAATGCTACCTGAACTGAGACAGGTTATATTCAACGTCAAACATTTGGTAAACAAATGTCATCACTAGCTTTAGATAATTTATAACAAAAAAAAACTTGTATTGTAACTATTTAAAATGAAGAACTTTGTCCATATTATGTCTTAGAAGATGCAAGAACCGAAAATAAGGTATCAAATAGCCACTTCATGCTTATGTATTTATCCTTCTGTGTAACATTATTATTTAGCTTATAACATAAACGCCACTTTGAAGTAAAAAAGAAACCAAATCCTTGCATCATATCTTATACTCGTATTGGCGATTTATCCTATACAAAAGTAGCGTCGGTACTTAGTAACATCCAATAACTGGCGTCAATATACCACGCGATTCAAGTATATTTAATATTCAAGACTAGAATTTTGAATTTTTCAACAAAACTTTGTTTATAAATTGTTTGGGGAATAGCCACTATTGGCTATGGGTGACTGGAAAGCTCCGTGGTACATGACATATTTTTAATCAAATAAATCAGACACTATGGAATGGAATCTAATCGAACAAAACAGAAATTAACAAATTTCTTCTTTCAGATTTCAACATGAGGACTTTCATTGTATTCGCCCTGTTCGCCGTTGTGGCTGTGTCCGCACGTCCCGACAGTACCTACACTGACAAGTACGATAGCGTGGATCTAGACCAGATCCTCAGCAATGAGAGACTTCTAATCCCATACCTCAAGTGCATCCTGGACCAGGGCAAGTGCTCACCTGATGGAAAGGAATTAAAAGGTAGTGATTGTACCTTTGAATGGAGATTAGGTGACGTCGAGACAAAATACGAAATACCATCGTATCACCTCGACGTCCGTCGTTCCACAGCTGAGCGTTTTTTAAGGCAGTTTTTGCCCACTGAAGTATTTCCAAACTAATTTGATATAGGGTCGTTTTAGAAAAGAACGTACCGATTCTTAAAAGGCCGGCAACGCACTTGCGAGCCTTTTGGCAATGTGAGTGGCCTTGTTTGCCTCGTATCACATAAAAGAATAAATGCACTAGGCTGGACTTTGAACGCGACCCCCTGAGCTGTGGAACATGTATGCTTACCTCGAAATTTTGATTGCAATTAAGGTTTTGTCCATTTTATTGCAAGTTTGCGAAAGCAATTTGGGTTTCATGTTTAGATATATTAACACTTGAATGGGGCATAGGACGTCCACATATAGTCTCCATCGCGGTCGGTCTAGAGCCCTCGTATTTCACCTCGATCTAAGTCTTTCCGGCTCTCTTTGCCTCATCTGCACCTATACGCCAGGTTAATCCGGGGACGGCCACGCGTCCGTTTTCTTTGCGGGTTCCAATCAAGCGCCAGCTTGGGAATAACATTGGGATCCCTTCGGAGTGTATGGCCTAACCATTTCCATTTGCGTCGCTTGATCTGCTGGCTAATAGGGTTTCTTGGCAGCGCGCTCAAAGTTGCTCGTTAGAAATCATTAAAGGACATATAATAAACAAGTTTCACGTAACACTATGTTAATGAGTAAATACGAGTCTTGATCTTGACCTGCAGTAGAAGGAAACAATTGTAAAACACATTTAATATTCAATGTTTTACGTTGACATCCAACAAGTGTTATTAATTCTCCCACATACCAGAATTTTCTTTTGAATAATTTCATCAATTTTTATCGTTAGTTTCATAAAGCGTTGTATTTGAAGGCTCCTAAGAAAACAAAAGAAAATTGAGCCAGTTAGAAGACAAAATACTTAGCTAATATATAATATTTTTATTCTTATTTGATGATTGATTCTGTAAAACAATTTCACAATAGTAGTCTTAGTAACTCCACATTTCATCCGCATCACCTTGATGGCTGGAAGTTTTAGACGGTTCGCTTCACAAGAAATTTTCTTTTGCTGGTCCCTGGGATAACCTCCTTTAAAAAATTGTATACTCCTCCATCAAAGGCCGGTAAAGCACTCACTAAAATGGGCGTCTCGTAAGCTTTAAATTTTTTAAATAAATATGTATGAACCATATTAAACTTGTAATTAAAAAGAATTCATAAGGTTTTAATAAGTATTACTACAATTTAAATACAATAATTTATAACCAATTTCAGAGTTATAATAAGTGTTTTATTCGCTTACATATATATTTTTATAGCCCATATCAAAGAGGCCTTAGAAGAGAACTGCGCTAAATGTACCGGCACACAGAAGTCTGGAACCAGGCGCGTGATTGGACATCTGATCAACAAGCAAGCCACCTACTGGGACCAGCTGAAGGCCAAATACGACCCTGAACACAAGTTCGTGCTCAAGTACGAAGCGGATTTACGCACAGTAGCTGCTCATTAAATCGAAATGTTAATTTATTCAAATTAAAGGGGTTGATTTCATATTATTTTCTCGTTTCATTTCGTTTCATAGTGAGTTATACGAGTATATTATTGTAGATCAAGATATAGTGCAAACTGAATAGCTGAATCACAATAAGTCTTTTCTTGTCTGTGTTTTAAATAAAATACTAAAATGGGCACTCCATCAGTCATAAAATAATGTATCTCTATATATAATATAATCTAATATATAAAATTCTCGTGTCGCAATGTTCGTTCCCATAGCAATGTTCTCCTCCGAAACGGCTTGACCGATTCTTGTTAAATTTTTTATGCATATTCAGTAAATCTGATAATCGGCTACTATCTATCTTTCAAACCCCTAAGTGATAAGGGGTGTCCACCCCAAAAAATTTTTTATTTTTTTAGGACACAACGTACAAAAATACAACCCCTAACTTTCACACCTCTACAATCAACCTCTATTTTAATTAATGTTTCCTGGAAATAATATACATGGTAAAACGACGTTTGCCGGGTCAGCTAGTAACTATAAATAAAAAAAAAAAAAAAAAAAATGTTTATTATGGAACATAAGATACATCTATCACTAATATTCGTATTTTTATTTACGTTCATAAGCACATAAAACTAATAATAAAATAATATACATTGAAATAAATAACTAAACTTAACATAAACTAAAATATATCATTAAAAGGAGTCCCTTTAGGCAAGGTTCCGAAGATACTGGCAGCGTTCCCCCTTTGAATTGCTAGACTAATTCTTTGTCCGAGGTAGCTGCCAGATCTTCGGTCTCCTGTGATGTCGACTAACCTTTTTGAAATTTCTTTAAAAAGCCTTAAAGCGCTAGGACCCCACGGACCAAGGGTCTCGACACCGAATGGGACAAAATCATATTCTGAGCCCAGACCCCTGTATTTGCATGCTTTATTTTTTTCAGCCGCTTCACAAGCCGCACCAGCTCTGTAGTTGGTTCCATGTAGATGGGAAGGGGCCAGCGTGTCTGAACAGGTTGCATCCCATACCAGTACCCGACCCATCTTCCATGGAATCAAACTCATACCGTCCGGTCTCTTGCCATCGTCTCTTGCAATACCACTCGGCTCAAGTAGACTTGGCACGTTGACGGTGGCAAGGGAACGGCGTATGATATCGTTAAGTGCGGCATGTCTCGAGAAGCGGCCTGCACTTTTTTGGCATGACAGGCCGTGATGTCCTAACTTGTCGACATATATGAGGAGCGCAGACCGGAACCCCAAGCCGTAGACAGGTTGCGATTCGAAGCGTGTCAGGCTCAAGAAAAGTTCCTGTATTTGACGATGGGTAAGCGTGAAGCCAGTAGCCGGCCTCATGCGTACCCACGGCCAAAAGCCTAGCACGCGCCGAACCTGTACTACAACTCAAAAGATCGTCAAAAGTCAGTTTGCAGTGTATGTCATCCCAGCTCCTCTGTGAATTTAGAGATTTTGGAAAATTTTGACCTGGGCATGCAATCAAGAAAGCGTTTCTAGCTTCTTCCAAGCCAGCAATCTCAAAGTTTGAAGGGGAAGCCCTTAAAATTTACTTATGAGATTTGCTGAACTATGGACAGAAGATAGAAAGGCTGGCAAAGCGACACTGGAAATTTTGCGAATCCCTAAACCACCATAACGGATGGGTAGGGAAGCTTGGGTCCAAGATTGCTCGTTCAGCTGCATATTAAGAAGTGATTCTAAGGTAATTTTGATTAAGTCGTCTAATGGTGTTAAAAGATCTGGGTGATTCCAAAAGGAGCAGCAACGGAGCACATACGTAAATTTTGGGAGGAAAAGACAGAATTTTAAGATGCAAAGTGCATAATGTGGACTAATTTCAAGGAGACGGTCAGCAGAATTTTGAAATTTAGTAATTGAAGTATGAATATAATCAGAAATAGATTCATTAAAAATTGGAGAACCTAAAAGGTAAAGGGAATTCCTGTTAACTATTTTAATATTTGGAGCCAAAATTTGAATTTTTTTTTTACATCATTTAAATTTAAGTCGCAGTTATTTATGAAAAGTTCACATTTGTTAAAATTAAGCTCCAAACCAATGGCTTCAAATTTATTTTTGATTAAAAGAAGGTCCGAAAACACAGTATCCAAATCACCTCCTAGGGTTCCGTCGTCCAAATACCAAACATTGAAATTAGAATTTAGATTTTTGATTATCGGATTTATAGCCAAACTAAAAATTGCAGGCCCAAGGGGATCACCCTGTTGACAACCTACTTCCGAGGAAAGTTCATTAGAACGATATAACAATTTAGTTGGATCAGCGTAACTGAGAAGAAGATAATTGTATATTTCAGGTATATGTTGTTTTATTTCAGTCAGCAGGGTATCCCTATTTACCGAATTAAATGCATTTTTCACATCAATTATGAGCAACACGTCTGGCTGTCCGTGACTTAGGAAAGAGCGTAGGGCATGGACGGCTGCCTCACACCCTCCTTTCACACCGAAACCTAACTGTACAGGTTCAAATTCTGAATTTAATTTTGGTAAAATATGTCGAACAGCAATTTTGGAAGCCAGACGTCTTAGTGTTGATCCAACAGCAATTGGTCTCACCCCTCCGTCCTTTTTAGTGAGGGCAATGAGGTTCGCGCCGAAAAGAATGGGAACAATTTCTGTATTGACATCCCCGGAATACATAACATTTATTAATTTTGTGATCGAGTTAATAAGTTGCTCGCCTGCATCACCCACAGAATGCGATGTTAAATCTTTCAAATGTTGGGGTGAGATTCCATCCAATCCTGCAGCCGAACCTGGTTTAAAAGATAAAATTGCATCAGTTACATCTTTGTTTCGAATTTTAAGGCATGCTTGCCCTGCTGTTGGTGGGTCGAGAAAATATGGGTTTACTGGAGCTGGGGGATGTTTTGTCCGTAATGCCTCAAGGGTGTCAGGGGTATCTGGCGATAGCACGTCATTGGAGAACAAAAGGCGAGCGGCACCTTTAAGATCTCCGTCACAAATTTTGTTCTCGATGAGTTTTTTGCGATTAAAAGGGGCATCATGTTTAATTAGAGGTGCGGGAGAAGGTGAGGAACTTACAGCACAGTTATTCTTTATCTTTTGTGTCAGGGATAAATTCGGTTCATCAGTTTTTATTATATATGTAGTGTACTGTATGAAAATAAAAATAGGTTCTGCCAGTCTTGAGTACAATTGCTTAAATAACATTTCTGGATTAATTTTGACAAATGTGTAGCAACAGTTATTCGAGCTCCTCGAGGGATTCTTTTAACAATGAGTAAACTATTTTTCAAATGGCTAAGTAATGTATGGAAAGAAGTTGGAGCGTTGGCTACAAAAGTAGGCGCACTCGGAATAATGGGAAGGATTTCTAAAAGTGAACTGGTCTGGCTAATACAGTTCCTGTGTGTTTTAGTAATGTGTATTTTAAGGCCTTTCAAAGATTTGAAAGACTTGTTGCAAAATGTACATGAATGGGACGCGTTCGACGTGCCATCACAAGATAGGGTCACGGCCTGCATTCACAACAGTTAAGTACTTACATAAAAAAAAAAAAAAAACAATAACTTAAAACAAATTTAAAAACACAAAAAAAAATTACTTAAAACAAATTTAAAAACACAAAAAGTAACTTAAAAAGGACACTGATAACAAAAAATAGGTCAAAGTCAAAATTAAAAATGAAGGCTGCTGGTTTTGGTAACAAAATGCATTCGTCGTTTCGTCACAGGATGGACTTGCAATTGGACGTTGCCTTAGCAACCGCGTAGCTAATAAAATAAAAAGCAAAATAAGGAGCACAAACACAAGCAAAAGCGGGAGCACAGAGAAAAACAGAAGAGTTCAGGTATAGGAGGAAACAATGCTCGTCTGGCCACTATTCATTGGTCCATTTCACAAACTTTGCACAACACAAATCTTTCCCATCTCATGTTTTTTTGTAATTTAAATTTTTATTGAATTTGTTTACTTCCATGCAATATTTGTTTCTATCACTTATTCCACGTCATTAAATTTGAACTTTTAGGCATCCCTACTCATCGGCAAAGAAGACAGAGGGTGTAGGCCGACAGATAAAGCCGGCGTAAAAAACTATCGGTACTCTTTTAAAACAGCAAATCATCAAACAACACTTATTTAAAACAAATATCGCAAATTAATTAGAAGTAGCCTGTCTAGCACTAGTCCCAGGCCCTTTTATCAACTAGACAATCGTTAACTTTGTAGTAAGCCTTTTTACACAGCTTTTCTTTAATACATTTCTTAAATTTATTGAAAGGCAGAGATAAAAGAGCCTCTGGGATTTTATTAAAGAAGAGTATCCCTTTCCCCAAAAAAGAATTACTAACTTTAGATAGTCTAGTACGGGGAAATTGCAGCCTGCATATATAAAGTTTAGTTTTAGGATTGTTCTGTTTTATTAGAAGAACATTTAATAGATAACGCTTCCTATATTAATAAGTTATTAGCTTTTAGCTTGGTGTAATCTGAATTCATTTAGAGGAAGGATACCAAACAGAGATACTCGTACACTGTACAGGTTTCCCTCCTTTTTATTTAATAATTTTAATTGTACTTGCAACGAAGTGTTAATAAATAAATACTATAAAGTTATTGTACAATGTACAGTCATAATCTCTACCAACTGGCTTTTCAAAAAGGTTTGTTGTCATTGCTATTGAAATTATACGACTTTAAAGAGAAAGCGATCTTTTCCAAATATCATCAGAATTTACTAAAATAGTTCAAATAATAACTTTGTTCGATTTATATTTTTAGTAACTGATAATAATTAATTTAGATCAAACAATATTACATTTCTCTTCTATTCATTTGGTATGGTTGGAAATAATTTACAAACAAACAGACTTGCTTAAAAATCCCTTAGTTTTGTGTTTCTAATTGAAAAATTCCCGCTAAACTGTGTAAACTGATATAACTAAAATCACTAAAAACATTAAACTTAGTTTAGATTTATTGATGTAATTACGAGATAAAGCTGGCGTGACGTTGTAAACGTAATAATAGGATCCGGTGCTTTATTAAACCCATTTCAGGTGAATATATTAATGGGAATTGGCACTAATGATGAAACAAAAAAACGTCTAAATTTGTATTACATGTTTGTGTTAATTTTGGGACATTAATTATTCGTTAAACTACAATGTCTCTAATGATATGATCGAATAAATAATGTCAACGTCAGTTGACTGACAAATGACAATTTATTTAATATCTTTACAATACTTACAAATCATAACATAATCATAATATGTGATCACAGTAGTACGAGGTCTACTTCAATGTAAATAAAAGTGATCAATGAAACACCTACAACTTCCTATAGGGATGTTTATATGTATAAGCGATAATAATAATTTGTAAAGAAAGTAGTACATTCAGATTTATAAATTACAAAAATCCGCACAGTCAGCCATATAAAAATAGGCATACAATTTTTTTTTTTTTTTTTAAGACAATTCACACCAATTGACCTAGTCCCATGCTAAGCTGGTGAAGCTTGTGTTATGGGTACTAGGCAACGGATATACATACATATTATAGATAGACATATAAATACATATTTAAACATCCAAGACCTAAGCACAACACCAAATGCTCATCGCATCGATGTTTATCTCAGCCGGGGATCGAACCCGGGACCCATGTATAGTCAGGGGTACTAACCACTAGACCAATGAGTCGTCATACAAATGTCATATTAAATATCATAATTTATAATAATAGAGCAGTGTTGTCCTAGTGGCTTCAGCGTGTGACTCGCATCCCTGAGGTCGATCTTCGGCTGTGCACCAATGGAATTTCTTTCTATGTGCGCATTTAACATTCGCTCAAACGGTGAAAGAAAACCTCGTAAGGAAACCGGCTTGCCATAGACCCAAAAAGTCGACGGCGTGTGTCAGGCACAGGAGGCTGATTACCTACTTGCCTATTAGATTAACAAATGATCATGAAACAAATACAGAAATCTGAGACCCAGACCCACCAGACCCAGACACCCAGACCAGAGAAAAGGTGATAGCGCCACTGATTTTTTAAATTATCATAATAATAAGTTAAGCTATTTTTGTCATTTTTTTATTGTTTCATATTGTATAAATATAATATGTCCTATGTAGTTTTGCACTTCAAGCGCTCACCTTATCTAATTTTAATTTTTCTCACAGTGGTTTCCTGGAAGAGATCACTCGAAAGCGATAAGGCCGCCAGTCACCATCTTTTTATTTAATAATTTTAACTATACTATATTTCTGTCATGTAAGTATTAATAAATAAATTAATACTAAAAAGTTCCCTCAATAACCGAAGCGCTGATATCGCCACTATTTTGCGGGTTGAAACTCAATATTATAGGATCGCGAACTTCTCATAAGTTGTAGCCAAAGGATAGTTTTTATAAGTCATTCGTATTACGCTGATTGAAACACATTTACATTCGAATGAGTATTAAATTAAAACTGCCCTGATTACAATGTTTATCACGTTAAAATATTAAGTTATAAACATGATGTATGCCTTGACCATGAAATACTAAAAAATACCTAAAAAGCACCAAAATAATATGGAAGCATTGTTTTTATTACGTTGTTTACATGTAAGTTAACAATATATAAAGATCTATGCACAATACAAATTCAGTCTCGGATTTTTAACCTTTGAGTAAACAAGTAGGTAGGTTTGTATTTTCTCAAAAGCAAACGGAATAATTTACCGAAGGCAACCGCTTTTACGCTCACTGAGGACTTTACCAAGCCCCCTAGGCTCAATTCTAACCTAAACGCGGTTCACTTTTACCTAGAAACTGCGTAGCCGGCCTTATTCTTCCGTACAGAGACTCAGATATCCTCCCCGGCTGATACTTCTTACCTCTCCTACCCGTGGAGAAACATAGTTCTTGCTAAGTCGCCTGAATAATATTCTACGCTTTAAGGGAAAACTTTGAATTGTCACGAGAATGTTTTAATACTTTACGACATACCGTTTTGCTTAACAGATTTCATCTCTTGCAATCATTAAGGTTTTACTTGTGAAATTCAATTGAGAGAAGTTTCGACGAAATTAAATAATGTATTTGATTATTATTTCTGTTGTAGAGTAAAATGAAGACAACGTGTGTTTGCCTGTTCGCCTTTGTTGCATTGGCCGTAGCCGAAAAGTACACAGATCGCTATGACAATATAAATTTGGATGAGATCTTGAGCAACAGGCGTCTTCTGGTGCCATACATGAAGTGTATATTAGACGAAGGGAAGTGCTCAGCTGACGGAAAGGAGCTAAAGGGTGAGGTTATAACTATCTTTGAATAAGGCGGAAATAAAATAAATTAGACCACTAGTCAGGTGTCCAAGTAGTGCATTGAACCTGAAACGAATGCATTTTTAGTTTTTCATTGATTGCATCAGTTAACTTTCGTTAAAACTTTAATGATGGGTTTGATGAAAATTTTTAACATTGCTATTATTATTTTCTTTTGCCTTGTTATATAATATAACAATATTCCTACATGATTGATATTTTTGCATTTACGTTGTATACTCGCGGATGCTTGGCGGATCCATGCGACTACTTCGATACAAAGAGACCTCTCCTGCGATGTGTTTTGCGGTATTGCGAGCTACTCATTTGTGAGGAAGTTGCATGGATCTGGTTAGCGCTGCCTTTTTAAGTCTTAATGTCATTACGCGTGTAACTTTTTAACATGTATGATGTTTGAACATAAAATAAAAATTCAAGGCAAGGTGTATAAGCTGAATATACTGAATTTGAACTTTGATCCCGGCGAAACAATAATTGTAGTGGGCGTAGTAGGCTTAATGCTTTAAAAATTATCGAAAAGACTCAAAGAAAGAACTGTAGCTTTGGAGTTAAACAATTAAGTAAATTTTTTTTACAGGACACCTGACTGAGGCGTTACACAACGACTGCCAGAAATGTACGGAAAATCAAAAGAAAGGTTCGGGACGGGTGTTATCACACTTAATCAACAAAGAAGCTGAGTTTTGGCAGAAGCTTAAAGCCAAATACGACCCAGATAACAATTACGCGCCAAAATACGAGAAACAGTACAAACAGTAATGCAGTACAAGCAGTAATGTAATTGGTAATGGTAATACAAGGTAATACAAATATAAAGTGTTTTAATTTAAAACCTTTTTAAACCCAAGATTGGAGGTGTAGTTAAAACTGTTTCTCAGCCACAAGGGATTGTGTGCAGTGGATTTTTATCTCTGCTCAATAATCATTTGCTCGCACTGCACTAAAGGAACTTGCTTAAAGGCTTGTCTTAGACTCAAATATGGAGAAGTGTATTGGGCACAGCGGGTTGATTATCCAATTGCCTATAAAAATTTAACACATAACATACACAAGAAGTCTTAGATATAGACTACACACGGCACCATGTTTTGTGGATCTGTCACCTACTAAATACCTGAATTGTAGTTAGAACTATCCAAAGAGTAATTATTTTTTGTCAATACACCACATCCTGAAATATCTAAATTGTAGTGACATGGTAAATAACCGAGGTGTCGTGTTCCAATCCGGAGTGATACAAAAATATATTTTTGTTATTTTTTCAATGGCAACTAAGTTTGGAGGTTGGCGGTGTGTGAGAACGCCATCTCGGATTAACACAGTATGTCAGATTATTCTGACATTACAATAAGACTTTTGACGTGGTCCGTACGAAGGTACGGGAACTCTTCGAAATACACTTTAATATATTCTTAATAAATAAAGTCTCTATTGGCTACCATGGCCAAATCGACTTTGATAACTTAAAAAAAAATGTACTGTGGTAGCTCTAAACCAAAGTTAAACCCTTTAGTGGCCTTTTGCTGTTTCCTGTACCTTCGGTTTAAAAAAAAAACAGTTATTAAAACTACTGTACTAGAGGACGATGTTGAGCGGGAACGGGCGCTGTGTACTAGAGCCAGTATTGTTATTAATTGATACTGGTAAAAAAATTAAAAAAACCCACAGTAATTTTTATTTTTTATGACTGACCAATAAGTTGGTCAACCGGTGTGTGAGGCACACGTCGACTTTTATGGTTGGCATGCCGGTTCCTCTCGATGTTTTCATTAAAATAAAATAAAAAATACGTTTATTATGGACTATAAGATACAGGTATCACTTATTCCACGTCATTAAATTAGAATCGGTAGACATCCCTACTCATCAACATCAGACAATCACAAAGAAGACAGAGGGTATAGGCTGAGTTGGGCATTCACTGTATGTTCGAGTGCGTCAGAAGAGTCCAAGTGCACCACTAGGCCAACAATGCTTTTTCCTGCTACTAATAATAGGGTACTAAGCCGGCATCAACACCAGAATTTTCTCATTATCGAATCATAATAATTAAAATTTAAAATGATATAATGTGTGACTCATTTAACGATATTTACGTCTCAGTAATAAATTAACAGAAAATTATTCGTACAATTATTTTTCCAAACTTAATAAGTAATTTAAGTGTTTTATGAGCAACAATAGAGTTCTATGTATTGGTTTTGTATGGTTCTTGCACGGTGAAGAAGACGTGAGAAAACTGGTACTTTCATACCACCACAGGCGCTGCGACTGAAGGTTGATCCCTTAGGTACTGACATGTACTTGTATCACAGTGTCTACAAACAGTCTGAAGACAGTATAAATTGAACCACTCTTTCGTAGTGATTCTAAGTGCGGAGAAATACAACTCGGCTTTGAGCCTCCTCTTGTGATATTCTTGTCGAATGTTTGTCTCATGTATGGCATCGTAAACGCGATATTTCGTGCGCACTTTTTTTTGCTTAGAAGGGTTTCCAAATCATACAATGTAATGCATTGAAATAATGATGCATTTTTTGTTGATGCATGTTTTGTATTTGTGGATACGCGTTGGACTGACCAGATCAAGTCTGCCGTAGGAGGTTCTCTCAATGAGTGCTGGTCGCTGGATGGTGACCTCTAATAAGCAAAAAAAGTCGAAAGGTCAAAAATCATTTACTCATATAGGTAACACAATGTACACTTATGAACGTCAAAAAAGAAATATACATTAAACGCTTCTAATTTTACATTTACTGCCAGTTCTCAAATTAAGGGCGTAGAACGGAAGAGAAGAACTGGCAATAAACTCTCCGGCACTCTTTTTAATCGCCAAGTTTTTTGTTTTACACAACGTTTGTAAGGAGTTGCAACCATTATACCATGTTCCACGTGACATCTTAAGTAATAAATAATAATAAAATAAATTGAAAACAAAGATTTGTCCTCTATCGGCAGAGGCATGGTGAAATAGGAGCACGCACTTACATTCTCGTGGGAACAACACCCAAATACATAGCCATTACGATGGCGAAACGTCGTCGTGAAATCACATCTGCCCCTACTAATATTACTACTGCATAGCGATCAAGACCGCGTGGTTTATTAGAAGAAGAAATGATAATAATTTGACGCTGGCAATGTAGTGTACAAAGTAATTATAAACTGAACCTTGATTCTCATCAAGTACGGATATGGTCAGTAAACTGCATACAAAAAAATATTAATTGATATTTTATTAGTAATTTAGTAAAGTGTTGGCTTTTTTGTTCAAATTTAAGTAAATATAAAATGATGTGTGTCTAAATTTCAGCTGAGTGTAAGTGTGATTGATAAACGGTAAGTTGTCTATTATTAATTCTAGTAATCTATCTGATTTTATAATTCGAAAGATTCTAGGACCTTACAAATTAGTATTCTAGGCCCCTATGCAGAAACAACACAAATTGTAGGCTCAGTCATACAATTTGTGTTGTTTCTGAACGCTTGAAACCTAACACTATCTAATATATAAAATTCTCGTGTCACAATGTTCGTTCCCATACTCCTCCGAAACGGCTCGACCGATTCCTATGAAATGTTTTATGCATATTCAGTAAGTCTAAGAATCGGATAATATCTATCTTTCAAACCCCTAAGGGATAAGGGGTGTCCAGACCAAAAAAAAAATTTTTTTTGGACAATATTTTTTGTTTTATATTTTTTTATGATACAGCATACAAAAATACATACAACCCTTAATTGCGTGTACCCTCTACGATCAACCTTTATTTTTTTATTATTGTAGATAGTTATTTTTATTGAACTAAAAAAAAGTTTCCTAGAAATAATATACATGGCAAAACAAACGTTTGCCGGTCAGCTAGTATATATATATTAAATATCACAAACTTAATATGTTACTGTGCTAAATAGGGTAACTATTTTCTTTGCTCCTCAAAAACTAAATTTATTCATTGTTTTAATTCCATAATTTGGTTTCGACAATGTAGACCTGTGTCGATAATTTTTGAAACCTAAAAAAATAATAGTAGGATGAAACCCATTGGAAAAGGAGGAGAATATTATAAAAATTAAAGGAAAAATAATTTACGGGAGATCTGAGGTCGGGGGGGGGAGTTTTAAAGGTAGAAAATGGTTTATCTCGATTTCCGGCAAAACTAAAAGTCCTATGGAAAAAAGTCAAATGGCAAAGTTGTAGGTAATATAAAGATCTAAAACTTTTGTAATTACACATTTTTCACATAACCTCAAAATTTATGTGAAAAATTCAAAAAACCAAGTTTTTGGTTTTTAATTTTTATCTTTTGCAAAAAATTTTTTGCTAACGAATTTTGGTGAAAACTTAGCTTTCTATGTCCCAAATACGCTGTAATTTATTTGATTAAAAATATTTATTTTTTCACCTTATTTTGAATTAATATCGAAAAAACACCCTAATTTTCAATCGAAAATTCACCCGTCAAAATATCAGCTTTTTTCAAAAATTTGGTGTGCTGTCAGTTCGTTGAAATCTCTACTTTCCTATGGTAAAAAAATATATATATATTACCATAGTAAATCTTCTCAGAAAATGCAAAAAATCGTATGCAGTAACGCCCAGACAGTAACGCCCGTCATCCCCTTCCTTACTTTTTTTTTTTTTAAGGCTATCTACCCTGGTCTAATGTTATCAATTACTCATTGACGGTCGAACCGCTTATTATCACCATTGATGCTACCCGGATGTGGCTGGTAAGACCAAGAATATAGAGTGAAACTTGAATATAATTTCTATATTTTTTCATTATTCGGTTTGCATGGGGATTTTGGTTCAATAATGTGTTCATTATATTCAATCATCGTAATATTAACGGCAAAAGTATAATGTAGTAATTTCGTTGCATAATCAGATTTAATTTTATAAGCGATCCAGGGAATAAATATGGCAAAGTGCAAAAAAATTACGTATTAAACAATAACTAACAGACTTGTTGAATTAGAATAATAATAATAATAATAATAAAATATTTATTTGTTTTCTCTCACACAAAAATACAGACACAAAATACAAATTTCAGCATTAACAGGCAAAATCTGTGTGAGAGACTGGCGACTGTACTAGGATACCTGTATTACAGATTGCCAGTCCCTCCGCATCCGGACCGAATGGAATTTAAGTAGGTACATCAATTTGATCGAGAGACTATTACAAATATTACAAATATACTCACATTTAAGTGGGTGTGTGTGATGGTGCATGTATGGTTTAGTGTATGTAAGTGTTAATGTATGTATGTGTTAGTGAATTTATGACTTAGTGTATATATGTCTTAGTGAAGCATACATGAGCATGGGTGATAGTGTACCTATGTACTCGTATACATAACGTGTTAGTGTTAGGTATTAGCTGAGGACTACTAACAACTTCTCAGTCCCCTCGTAGTCTAGATTTTTAAGCCATTTGACTGTGGCTTTTTTACACTCATATTTAGTAAGCGGATATATGTTGATCAACCTGTTTATCTTGTTATATAGGTGACAGCCCATAAAACCAAAAAACCTTCTTGAGAAAGCTGTGGACCAACGGGTATCTGAGGTGCAGACTTTATATTTGCATCGTTTGTTGTCATTCAAAGAAGGATCATAGCGAGTTATGGAGTGTTGTTTGAGCACAGTGTTCAGTATAAATAGTTGACGAACACTCAACACGTCAGATAAAAGATATAGATCTTTGGTAGGGTAAAAAAATGGTTTAGAATAACTTACTTTCAATAACGCACGCTGAGCCCTCTCCAGTTTTATAAGATTAGTTTTACAAGCCCCTCCCCAGACAGTAACACAATAGCTTAAAACGGATTGGCAGAGGGATTGATAAACCATTTTAATTATCGATTTTTCAGCAATATTACGGAGATTCTTAAAGGTGAAGATAAGTTTCCGAGTTCGCGATAGTAGCAGGTCAATGTGGTAGTTAAACTTTAGCGTGCTATCAACAACGACACCTAGATACTTAGTATTGTTGGCAACAAAGATCTTTTGACAGTCACAAGAATCAGTATCAGAACATACATGAGCAGTTAAACCAAGGTTAGTACTAGAACCAGGAGTTTTTATGTAGAACGGTATACATTTAGTTTTATTGACATTGATAGTTAGGGCATTCATTCTGAGCCATTTGTTAACAACGTCGAATCCTCTTTGAGCAATGTCGACAGTATCTTTCCAGCTATCACCATGAAACACAAGTGCAGTATCATCTGCAAATGTTATTATTTTACCATTTTGTAACTGGAGGTCACAAAGATCATTGATAAATGCCAGAAACAGTGTCGGACCTAAAACACTACCCTGTGGCACACCATAGCGTATCGGCAAATCGTCACTAACAATGTTGCCCACCCTTACTCTTTGCTGTCTATCACTCAAGTAGCTATCAAATAGTTTAAGCTGCAAACCACGAATACCCAAAGCCTCCAATTTATCCAGCAGAATAGGACCAGCGACCGCGTCAAAAGCTTTTGCAATGTCCAAAAATACAGCTAAAATTTTATTTTTCTTATCTAGTTTTGTAACAATATGATCAGTTAATTGATGAACTGCGTCGCTTGTTGATGAACCCGGTCTGAATCCAAACTGTGAGCTGGAGAGTAGGTTATTACTTTCTAAATAATCGATGAGGCGTTTGTTTATCAATTTCTCAATGATTTTGGATAGCGTAGATAGTTTAGAAATAGGTCGGTAGTTACCGACACAATCTCTATTACCACCTTTATAAACCGGAATTACTTCAGCTAGCTTGAATAGGTCCGGAAAGATCCCTGTAGAAAGAATCAAATTAAATATATATGTAAGTGGAGGGACTAAGATTTCATGATAACGTTTGAGAAAGGCTCCAGAAATATTATCTCTGCCCGCAGCACCGTCCTTCTTCAGTTGCAAGATAAGTGATTGAACTTCAACTACATCAGTAGGTAGCATGACGAATGAGGACAGTGTAGGATTGATTGATGGTTTTTTATAAGAGCTACTAGAATATGCTTTTTCGGCAATCTCTTTCCCGATAGAAACGAAATATTTATTAATGTTGTTGACAGAGACCATCGGGTCCAGTGGAGAGACCAATTCAAGTGCAGTGCTAGTTGTATTGTTGGAGTAGGTTAGTTGTTTGATAGTGTCCCAGAGAACTTTTGTATTAGTCTTAGCAGCTTTAAGTAGGCGGTTTCTCTCATAAGTATTTTTAATATTTTTTAAAAGTGAGTTGCAAAAATTTCTATACCTCTTGTAAGTTAACGTTAATATTTCGTTACTAGGATTTTTTCTTGATTTTTGATGTAGTTTGTCACGATGCTTTACACATCTTAGTAGACCTGCAGTCATCCAAGGCCTCTTGATCCTTTTACGATTTGGGATGGTTAAAGTTTTCGTATTTGCTTTAATTACAGTGTCAAGCGCAGTCAGAAGAAATGCTGTTGCCTCATTGGGATCAGTCATTTTATATACAAGGCTTAGGTTTAAGTTCTTCATAGCATCGTCCAAAGACGGGTAATCAATCTTTTTCAGAGAAGAGTATTTGTCAGTCATAGTGCTACGTTCAAGTTTCAGAATTAAAGTGTCGTGATCCGTGACTGAGGTATCAGCAACATAACAGAAGACGCGATAAGAACATTTTAGTATTACATGGTCAAGACAAGTCCTGCCATGAGTTGGAAATAAGTGGGCTGGCAATAAACCATGAGAAGCCAACATATTCAAATACGTTGAAGAATTAACATCCTTATTGTTATCCAATATATCAATATTGATATCACCTATCAGTACTTTATGAGTACTACTAATCTCAGAGAGAAGTTTGTCAAGAGATACCAAAAACCGTTGAACGTCTTTGTAACCAGGTGGTCTATATACTGCAATTAGTGTTACATTATCCTCAAGGTTAATCAGTAAACAGTTGGCATCACAAAGGTCAGGCTCGGATATAACTAATTTCAAATGTTCTTTGTAAAATACTACAACTCCTTCATTCTGTGTGAAGTTTTTCTCGGTTAGAGCAGAGTTGTATCCCTCAAGAGATGGTAAGTTACGATTATTATGCAGCCAACATTCCGTTAAGATTATTAAGTCCCAATCAGTCCTGGATCTAAACAATAAGGTTTGAAAATCAGAGAAGTTACGATTTATACTACGAATGTTTTGATGGATAATTTTTAGACACTTATTCGGGCAGTTCATAAGTCTCCGGCAGTCCTCTATGTCACAAAGAGAAGATTGTGCAACATCAAGTTTATCGATATCATTTATAATTGCATTAGTTTTATCGAATTTTATTTATTGAGTCCGCAACTATGGTAAGACAAAAAGGCACGCGGTACAGCACAACCCTACGAGGATTCCACAATCCCGGGGACAACGCCACACAAATGAGACCAACACAATACACATACACACGGCACGAAGACAGACAGAGATTGTTGTTAACAGTTACATTCTTTCTATGAGTACACTTTGTATATATTGAGTGTAAGTGGTGTATAATTTCAGTGAGTGTGTGAGTATAGGTTAAAATAAGTGCAAGAGCAAATACAAATTCAAACGAAAATACATTATAGACTAAACGAGAACTTAACATGAAAAAATTGACTAAGGTAATTTTATTACTAGCAAGACTAAAGTAAATCAATAGAAATAAATAACAATATACAGTTAATTGGCAATATAGGTTAATGAGAAAGCAGTTACATGCAATGAGTCATGATTCCTTTGCCAGCTGAGATAAGCATTTTTCTGATTGGATTAAAATCGGTCTACCAGTCGAATCCTTACGTAAAAGTATTCTTCCATTTGAATGCCAGCACGAGTAGTTATGTTTCTTGGCAAATTGACGGGTTTCAAACATAAGTTTTCTTTGAGATGGACCTAGATGTTCGTCAATGTAAAGTGGAGTCTTTATTCCTGGCAACCCGATAGTATGAGTATTGAGCTTCTCAGAAACCGGCCTTCCTTTGTTAAAGTTTCGCAGCTTAGTCAATAAATCATTTTTAGCATTAACACTCGTAAATTCAACAACAACAGGTCTTGATACTCCCGGTCTACCCGGCAGCCGATACAAGTCACGTACATCACTCCTAATTATATCGACATCCACAGCTTTGCCGATGACAGAAAGGGTCGAGAGTAAGTTGTCAAACTTTTCATTTTCAGAAATCGGGATATTGCGGATCTCCAGAGATGCATCTCTTGTACGAAACTGTATATCCTGGATATGCGATTCTAAGTTTTTTATGGCATTTTTATTATTTTTTTTGGTTAGTTTCAATTTCCTTTACTCTGTCATTGGTCTCCTCCTGAAGCTTGTTTATAAATTCTATTCCTTTTTCTATTTCTGAGTTAGACTTCTTTATTTCCTGGAATTCAGTTTTTATATTGGATAATTCAGAAAATAATTTGTTTAAGGTGTCATTTAGAGTGGACTTCCATTCACATAGGTTTCGTTCTTGATCCTCTCTCCATTCAGAAAGCATTTTCAGGACATCCGCTCTTAAGTCGCTACTTTCGGAACTAGAATGAGCATTCGGGGAAGAGGTCTCCATTCGTTGTCGCTTGGAGCGCGTTGTTATATTGGTGTCACCCTTGGCAATACAGCCCGCACTCGTCATCGGAGACTTCGAAAGATCAGACTCCGATCGGGAACAAGACATCACAGAAGTGTTACGAGGGGGTGAGTGTTGGATTTTGGGCATATCTTCAATGAACCCAGAGTTCAATATCGCAAAGCAACAATAGACAATCGCACCAGTTGATCGTAGCAGGTATAACAGCTATGTAGTAACGTAGCAAATCACAAGCGTCGTAGTCTTACTTACGTCATTAGCCGAATGTGATGTAGAATTTCGACTCGCCGGCACTCAACCGTTTGGTGTAATGGCAAACAACAGCGCCCACCACACAGCCTATCCACGAAGAGGCACGGGTTCAAAACCACAAAAATCCAAATAGTTCAATTTAGTATTTTAATTTAAGATTTTAAATTTAAATTTCTCACAAAACTCAACACAGTGGACACGTCCAAGCGCTTCCGCGGTCCGGAGGGGAGAGGAATAATTTAACCCTAGTTTACCAACTCATATTACTAGTACATCTCTAGTTTATGCTGGCAACCCTGACACATCACTGTTTCTAACAGTCTATGATAAAAATTCTCTCAAAGAACTAGAAGAAGTATGTAAACCTTAGTTGATTTACAGTAACAATGAAGCTCCAGATCCTACTATGTTTGGTGTCCGCTGCTGTTATGGTGTCCGCCCGTCCCGAGAAATACACTAACAAGTTTGACAACGTCAACCTGGACGAAATTCTCAGCAACCGACGCCTTCTTATGCCTTACCTCAAATGTATCACTGATGAAGGAAAATGTACTCCAGATGGAAAGGAACTAAAGAGTAAGTATAATTTAATTAATATATGTTAATAATACTTGAACTCTGCGTAGCTTTGGCATACTTATTATTGAGCAGTCATATACTGCACTTTCTTAGGGTTTAGAAATCAACAAGACAACAAGAGCAGTGTTGGCCTTGAGGTTTTTCATAATCCCTCTCTTTAATCGGCATTTCATGTCTCAGCCTCGTAGTCAGAAAGAAGAAGAAGGGCTCTGGAGCGGACTAGTGACTACCTGTTTCCACCGGTTTCGGTCCAGCACGTCTCTTATGACAGTGTACAGTTTTGAGGACCATGAGTCTTTTCAATTGATCGGTCCATCCGGTTGGTTACGGCCACGTAATCTTTTGCCTTATGTGTTACCAAAAACGATCAGTTTCTCCAAGTTCTCATAGTTTTTCGTATTAATCGTCGCGAAATATAGATGTTTTCTTTTAATATTATATCGGCTTATCTGCATTTAAAATTTAATCACTCCAATTGTGCCATTTTAATTATTTACCCATCTCTTTTCATCACAGCGTAAACACAATTTCACAGGCGCAACATTATTAAGAGTGTAGCGGTTCAATTCATCTTCGATTATTTGTACTATTTTGATAAGATTTCATTCTTATAGTTTTGTTTTTGAAGAGAATTTGTTATAGACATATATACATACATATGTATGTACCTTGATTTGCTGGAACTATTTTCCATGGAATGCCGTCCTGGTGTTGCAACAAAAGTTTCATTTTGTTTCTTATTTGAAGTTGCTGAACTATTCGTTCGTACAAGTCAAGGTACATTCTGTATTTAAGGTGTGTCATTGGGGCTATGAAGCTTTTGTCAGAGCCGCGTTTGTTGTCTGCTCTTGTTCGTACCTGGATGCCCTAATTTGCTTTGCAATCTCTTAAAGAGTGCTGATAAGTCTGGCTGTATTTATTTCGTCACATATGTATAATAGTAGTTTGGAAAACAGTAAAAATTTGATAAGAGAGTATATCATAACCTTTTTTCAGTACATATCAAGGAGGCGCTTCAAGAAGACTGTGCCAAGTGCACGGAATTCCAAAAGAATAACTCTAACAGAGTAATGGCTAAGGTGATAAATGAAGAGCCAGCTTACTGGGACAAGATAAAGGCTAAATACGACCCACAGAACGCCTTCTCTTCTAAATATGAGAAGGAGTTGAAGAAAAATTAATTTAACATATTAAATTATTGTATTAATAACGGGATAGAATTATATTCCTAATAACTTATTTTAAATGTAATTAGTTCGAGTTTACAACCAAATGTTATCACTAAATTACAAGTTAAGTTTTGACGTAATAAATTTTCAGACATATATACATATATTTTATTCAAGTCAAGTCAAATCATTTATTTCAATAAGACCACTTTAAAGGGCACTTTGGAACTTCAAATAAAATATAAAGATGATTCTAGTTGTATGAATTAATTTTGTGTGAATGACGTTAAAAAACAGTTTTTGTGGCTCAACGTTTACGTGGTTATACAAAAAGTTAAAAGTGTTCTTTTAGAAGATCTACAATCTCAATTTGTATAATTAATTTCAAACAAGTGGAATATTATAAAATTGTGAAGTAGGTAGATTGCTGTCCACAAACGGGGTCAAAACTTCAATTACAAAACAGCAATTACAATTTTAACAAAATCTCAATATTTAAAGAAAAAACTTTTTAACCGGATTCAAGTTATGTATTATTATAAATTTACAATTATTTAACATAATTTTAAATTTATCCGACGTTTCGCGTGCTTTACAGCGTGGTTTTAGTCGATACCAACTCCGGGGAAATAAATACAGATAATGCAACTTTCTCTACAGCTGTGATACTTTTTGACATCCAACACCTTTTGTCTTCAGTCAACGTGACCGTCCGGCTCGAAGGACCAAAATGTACGGTTCCTGGATCATCAGGGGTTCGAAATAATAGAATAATTTGAATTTACTCTAAATTTATCACTCGCGTTATACAATAGAATATGAGCGAAATAATAACTATTATGTTAATTGCTATATAATAAGTGCAATCTAACAAGCAGAGAGAGTGCCTACGTCTGGCTATGCTCCCGGGGTGAAACTCCAACGATTTAGGAAATCGTCATGCTTATAAGTGACCAAACCGTACAGCCAGGGCACGTACTTACATAATAAAAACATCACGCTCGTGGATGATTGGAATGTACGAGCCCTGGCACGTACTTACATAAAAACATCACGCTTGTAAAACTAAGGAAGCCTGAGCGGGTAAAATGTACAGCCTTGGCTCGTACAATAATAATACATTTACAATTATTTAACATAATTTTAACACATGAAGTTTGCTATGAGTGAAGTGTGCCTGTTGCTATATTCTGTTTTGCGATCAGCTGCATTTTGACGTTAGGTTACTACTGCTTTTGACATTTTAGTAAAGTTCTTGAATAATTTATTATCAAGGCATATTTCTAGACTCAAATTGTCTTCAGTTTCACGCCTATTTAAGTAAGGTCGAATCCACAATCTCTTCTTTTTCTGTTTCTTTTTTAAAACAATATAAGCTGCTGCGACAAGTGTGATTTCGTCAGCCATTGTTGCCGGTTTGTGTAGCCCGTTTAGGAGTCTGCATCATGGGCCATACTATTGCAGACATATTGCAACACATTGCCCAGCCATAGATTGTTCGGCCATCAGCTGCATTAAAATATTTTTGTAATGGCCGGGCAATTAGTGGCCAACAGTGCAGCCATCAATTGCAGCAAAACATGGCCCGTTTAGTCGCGCCATAAAACAAAGTCGTGTTAGTTACACCACTTATAACTCAAGATCGGCTGGACCGATGTTAGTTATCTCTTTTTTGGTGGATTCTTCTCCGCTCCGAATAGCAGAATAAGTAATAAAATATCGTTTACGAATGCAAACAGCATGTGGTGCCATCTGTTGATAAAACTACGCATATAAATAAAATTATAGCACAGATCAACAAAATAAATTGTGTTGGTTTATTTTTGTAAAATATTATGTACACAATTTATATTTCATGTGAAAAGATTGAAAAATTATTTCTAAGGCCTACAACGCACTAGCGGCTGGCCGCAATGCGGTGTGCCGCTGCGGCGGGCCGCGGTATATACGGTCCGCCGTAGCGGCCTGCCGTATTCCGGCTAACCGTCCCTATTGCGGTCCTATTGCGGTCTGCCGCAATCGTCACTCGTCAGTGCTTCTTGAAATATTACAAATTCAAATTTAATGACGTGGAATAAGTGATACATGTATCTTATGTTCCATAATAAACATATTTAATTTTTTATTTTTTACTCTTTTAAAATAGGTTTACAATATTTTGTTTACATTTGTTAAATAATTATATGTGATGACGTAGGCAGGACGGCTAACCGCGCCGAGTGCGTGGAGGGGACGCGGCGCGCCGCATCATTCAACCGGTGCGGCTCGCCGGAGCTCCAGATCAACTGGAGCGGTTGACGGTTGACCGCAAGTCAGTGCGTTGTTATCGTGCGGTTTCATATAATAATCGATGTGCGGCCCGCCGCAGCGGCACACCGCATTGCGGCCAGCCGCTAGTGCGTTGTAGGTCTAAGACGGCTGACCTGAGAAAGGTTTTTATGGAGAAAAAAAAGGAAAAATTGCACGGTTAAACCTAAAAACAAGTTTTCTTTTGCTGTAATTGTGAACGCAAACAGTTTCTATGGGGTAGCATAGCAAAATATACCATAATATGTTGGTATGTAGCTACTAAAAGGGTAAGCTAAGTAAAATCATATTAAGGTGAAACGAAGTTCGCTGGGGCAGCTAGTGTATTATACTTATGGCTTGTTGAAATTCATAATTTTAGTTATTAAATGATATTTTGATTTAATTAACTGGCCATATCCTCATCATTGTCAATAATTTGTTAAATACTTGTAATTACCTTATGATATTACCAAATATCACAAAATGGTAAATTTTTCGCTCTTAGAGGTGCTGGTATAGTTTTTTTATAAAGGTTGTTAAGTGACACCGCCGCCCATGGACACTATCAATGCCATAGGGCTCGCACTTGCGGTTCTCAACAGAATTGGTACTCTCTTTTATTGAAGTATACAGATGTATAACAAAATTCCAGATCATGAAACCAAACTTCCGCTACATAAGTTTAAACATTACATCAAGGAAACCCTAATAAAAAAAGGATATTACGCAGTTCAATAATACATAGATGATAACAATGTGTGGTCACTAATGCCGCTAAAAGATATTGAGATGGCGTAAATTTCACATGAATAAGTGTACAAATTGTACCTAGATGAATAAATGACTTTTGAATTTTAATTACGTTTTCAAGCAATTAATTATGATAATAAAAATAAGCAAAGCAAACGTGAATCAATTCAAAAAATGTCGGCTACGGACGCAAGCCCTCTGGCAATGAGAGATTGAGCGATTCCTTTGTTATACAACATTTCAAGTCCGACAAATCACCAACGACGGTTATTTTTATAACGTTACTTCTATTATTCGTATATTATATACCTAGTATCAGGCGTTATATATTAGCATATGAATTAATAGTAAAAGGGAGCGTCCATACAATGAAAATTTGTTTTATATACGTTAAAGATCAAATTTCACCTAAGACTTCATTTGTAATCAGATTGCTACTCAAGCTACTTTATCCCAGAATGTATTTTAAGCGTCGATCCGTTGAAACTAGTTTCAAGTGAGATTTGATCAATAAGATTCCGCTTCAGTCTGTTGTTCAAGTTGACATTCCATTGCGTTATTAAGACAAAGAAAAGCTTCGACACGCTTCCATTACATTTAATTAATAAGATTAAATAAAAAATTACTTTTCCATTAAAATAATATTTATTTATGTATAATGTAAATGTAAGAAACATTTCATTATGTATTTTATATATGTATTGTGTATTATGTATTTTTGCACTTCTTGCTTACCTTATCCTAATTTTTTTCACAGTGGTTGCCTAGAAGAGATCGCTCGAAAGCGATAATTGCTTTTTCATAGAATTATGTCAATTTTATTATGTTTCTGCAACGAAGTGTTAATAAATAAATAAAAGCGTATATAAACAACCAAGAGTCTCTAAATAAAACAAATTCGTAGCAGACAAGACAATATTATTTATTGTGAAGAGGGTTTTATTTTTTATTTCTTATAAAGGATAAAAAACAAATAAATCTGTGGCGTATAAACGGAGTCTAAGGCAAGCCGGATTCCTCACGATGTTTTCCTTCACCGTTCGAGCGAATATTAAATGCGCACAAAGCAAAAAAGTCCATTGGTGAACAGCTGGGGATCGAACCGACGACCTCAGGGATGATAGTCGGACGCTGAGTTAAGAAGAATTTTATCTTCCATCTCTCTTAATTTTAGTATAATAATGTTATTATTTTATAAACTCAAATTCAAAATATCTTTATTCATGTAGATAAACAAGTACACTTATGAATTGTCAGACAGAAGTTATATTATATATATATTTAAGTTGCATAATGTTTAATAATTATTTAGTAGTATGACAACTGCCATTATTTAAAGTATAATGAAATATATATTTGTAGATATTATTGAGTTAAATTATTTCATACATCGATTACAATTATTAAAACTTCACTATTAATAACTTATAAAATCCATCAAGATTATTTTGATGGCGTAATTACGAATTATGTTAGATGGCATTTCCTTAATACATATTTTTCCGAATGAAATTCCAAGAAACCTTGAAGGGTAGACAAATGGCTGACGCAGTAAGCGTCTTGAAAATTTTTCCTTTCTTGTAATGGGAACAGGTTTGGCTTTACTATTTATTATAAATAGGATTTGGCCTTGTTCGGGATAAGTATTTTGTGCGTTGCATTGAAAGGGATTGGAATCATTTTTAATTCCTAAAGACAAAATCTAAGGTACGTAGATAACTTGTGTGTTTAGTGTCTTTTTTTTTAAGTATGTCCAACAATAACAGTTTTAAATAGAAATTATCAACCATTATCTAAATGCAAGTTTGAACTGACCACCTCTGAAATAGAAAAATATTTACAAGAATTATATTAGGTTTAGGCGAGAGTTAAGTTGGTGGCGGTTGTTGTATGTTGTATGTTCAGATATATGTTAAATGAAACACTTTGTTTGAAGCTGGGTAATAACTAACTTTAATTATTTAAAATATGAGCGTATAACAAACATAAGATTAGGGGTAGTTGCGACGCTAACAAAAACTAACTTGACTTATCTAAGGGTTCACAAATCAAAATGACACTTATGTTACTGGACATTATCGGAAACGAAAATGTTAAATTACAATTTATAAGTGTGGTAAAAACGAAAGGGCTCATTTTGACTTAAAGTGTGCAATGTTTGCTCACGTAAGTATGGATGGGTGTTTGTTACTCTTTCACGTATAAACTACTGAATGGATTTTAATAAAACTTTACGATAATATAGCTTATACACCAGAATAACACACAGGCTACAATTTATAAAGATCTTGTGTGAATTGTCCAAAATATCAAGTAAGTAGGAAAAAATTTACCATCTGCTATTCTGGCGTGCGCTGCCATAACCGCTAGAGTTACACATGTGTAATGTAGGATGGAAATATTTATTTTAAATAGGTCTTCAAAATAGCCCGCCACAGTATATATCTTTTATGTAAGCCATTATAGCCAAAATAGTGAACCATAACTACAATAAACGTTGATAATTTATTTCAAATGCACCTTTGGTAGTATAAATTGATTCCTAAATGAAAATAGATACTTTTATCGCTTCTGGTATTTAAAGTTGATAAAATACGAGTATGTCCTTCATGCTACATCATTTGGACTAATATAGTTTTAATCCTGCGCAGACGAAGTCGCGGGCACTAGCCCGAAAAATGATTTAATGTTAGATAACATAAATCGAGTAAAACAAAAATATCTTTAACAATAATATTACAATGGATATGTTTTTCAAGATAGTTGTTCATATTTTTATTTTTAATCACTAATTAACGTATTTTCAATTGTAGTTGAACAATTCAACCTTCTAGAGCTTATTAAAAGTTATGTTTTTTTATTGAAACCGCGAAATGTGTTATAAGTTTAGGATGCCTGGACCAAGAAAAAATAACTTTTAAAAACTATTATTAGTATATTTCTCTTTTGTAAATATCATATACCACTCTATAATTCTTGTCGCAAAGTTAAGAACAGTGTTTCATCATTTATTATTTTCAGAATGAAATACATAATTCTACTATGTTTCCTGGCTTGTGTTTGTGCCCGACCCGAGACATATAACAACAAATACGATGGTGTTAATTTACGCGACATTTTAAGTAACCGAAGATTACTGGTTCCTTATATACTTTGCACCTTGGAACAAGCGCAATGCACACCGGAAGGCAAAGAATTACGGTGTAAGTATTGCATATCAATGCCGACTGGGCGTGGAGGTTTTCTATGTGCGTTATAGGTTGATGGGATCAGTTTCACACTTAGACTCATAATTGGTTCATCGTGCGTAAAGTGCTGGCCAATTTAGCCAGCCTAGCTCCTTCCAGAAGCACAGAAGTCTCCTGGGCACTTCTCAGGCTTCACGGAGCGACATCACTGCTCCGAGGATTTCTGCACGTTGTTTAGCCACAGCCTCGCATTCCAGGACTACATGGGTGACTGATTCCTTTGCGCTGAAACAGCCTCTGCACATGGCTGTCTGTCGCGCCTAGGACAAAAAATGTTTATTAAGGAGACAATGGCCCGTAATTGTCCCTATCATTCATTTGAGATTCTATGTGCGTATGCAGGGAAGAGAAATTGGGGGATGCAACAGGTTTTAGCCCAATTGCAAAGTCCGCCGCCCATGGACACTCTCATAGCCAGAGGGCTCGCGAGTGCGTTGCCGGCCTTTTAAGAATTGATACGCTCTTTTCTTGGACCCTAAGTCAATAATATGGTTCAAATTATGTTTATTCAATCTAAGTAAATTGTGACGTATTTGTGTGAATTCCCTGTGCTGTCATCAACGTCACTAACTACAGTAATTCAATTATTAATTAATACAATAAAACTGTGTTAATTACGAAAAGATATGAATCACAACAAAAATTACAAAACAATGAGCGTTCAGGCTGTATTTCCTGTTTTTGAAATTATTGTTTAAACGTCATGTTACATTGCCTATAACCTTGAGTTTCTTGGTTCATTCAGAGCTCCCTTACCCTGTAACTTGGTGTTTCAACAGCAATACAGCGCCCTCTTTTAATGCAAGTCCGATGTAGTCCTCTCAATACTACCGCTGTTTTCACAACCTTCAAAAACTCATTGGGACCAGGATCAGTGGTGATCCCTATGCAGGCGCGTAAGAAGTTATACTTCTTTGGCATTATTAAAAATAGTTTTTGATTGCATGCAAATAATTAATTACAATTAAATAATCAAAGACTGGAAAAGGAGTCATTATAGTCAATAAAATTCAGTTAACATTTGAAAAATTAAATAAATAATTATTTATTATTATTCTCTTACATTAAGTGTAACATAAATTCTATTATTATTCAAATGTTGTTTTTAAATTATGTCCAATGCCGTAGCATCTTCCGTGGGCAACATCATTCTGTTAATTTTGTGTCACGGTGCGCGCGCATCTTAAAATTTCACTCTCATAAATTTTTCATAACGCGCCTAAAGAAGTATAACTTCAAAATTTCGGTTTGGCCTTAAAAATTTAACTTGATTCCATCCCATTACCATTTAAATCGTTGTTAATTGATTACTATAATATCCATTTACACATTTGAGAGGTTCAAAGTCCAACTAACTTCGCCAGCATTGATTTAATAAATTTTATACACAAATAAATAAAAATATATATAATGAATTTTTCCAGCTCACATCAGAGAAGCTTTAGAGAATGATTGCGGTAAATGTACTGAACCTCAGAAGAAGGGCACTCAACTTGTAATAACACATCTTGTCCAACATGAAGATGAATTTTGGAAGCAATTGGTTGCCAAGTACGATCCCACCAACAATTATGTGACGAAATATGAGAAACAATTGAAGTCTATTAAATCCAGACCTTAAGTTTAAATAAATGAATTAAACTGTGTGTTTTATAATCTGATTCTTTTTTAATCCTTTAAAATCTTACAATTCATGTTTTTTTAAATTTATTTCGTATTTCTTCAGCTAACATAAATTGTATAAAAAGATAAAATAATGTTTTTCAATTACATTTAACTAATTTGGCTGTGCTGTGTGATGGTATGAAAGTGAAGGTATGTACGTGAGTGTACGTGAGTGTGTGTTTGTGGGGTGAGCTCATGATGCGGGTGATTTTGCGGTATTCATATTCTTAATACTCTTTTTAAGCATATCCCACTAGGGCTTCAACAAGTCAAGGTTTAAATATTGGTCGTTGTATGTCTTGCTTACTTCTTACAAGCTAAGTTTAGCAGATTGTTTTAATGATAAGCGTAAGTTGGTTATGTCAATAATGTACACTGGATATGTAGCACTAGAAATTTTTGTGTAACAAAATAAAGAATTTTTGAAATTGAAAAAAAAAAAATCTTAGAGGGTTTGTTAGAAGAAGAATAGAGATATTTGTGATTGTTTATTGGTTTGATATTAACATCAGCAGATACATATTTAACTATGCTAATTAAGTGGTTATATCACTAATCATCAGAGGCCAAAAACGATTCGTATATTTCTTCATATTCATTTTTAGGGTCGTATTTCTTAACGATGTCTTTGAAATAATTGTCATAGTTCTCACGAAGATGTCGGACGACTTTTCTTGCTCCTCTCCTCTGATTGTCTGTACATTTTTTGCATCCTGTCTGCATACCATCTTTAACGTGCTCTGAAAAATATAATTGCAATCAAATAGATTTTGTCTTAAAAATAATCTTATAATTACTCAGCTGAGTTTCTGTTCGTTTACTTCCAGTGAAAAGTGACGCATCTTCGTCGTATTGGCAAGTTGTGAAGACCTTTTCAACTATAATCGTTATATTTTAGTAAATTTACATAAAACCATTATGAATACACTTAAGTCTTCCACGAGAATAGCATATCTTTTAGAGGGACCGTACAAATCCCGTTCTATAGTTTATTTATTTTATTTATTAACATTTCGTTGCATGTATAGAAATTTTAATACAATTGACATAAATAAAAAGGAGGGCAATTGGCGCCTTATCGCTTTCGAGCGACGTCTTCCATGCAACCACTGTTCAAATTTTTTAAATAATTACACAAGGTAAGCGCAAGAAGTGCAACACTACATAAGAAATATAGTTATGTAGACAAAACTTATGCAAACAGTGAACAGGACAACAATAAAAAAGAAAAAGTACACATGAATCACGGTAATTTCAGATCAGTTAGGGATACGATGTGGACAGGTAATGCTTGTACAGTAGGGACTTAAAGGAAGATAGAGAAGGAGGTAAGCAAATAGGGACGGTAAGTGAATTCCATAGCCTCACAGATACCTTAAATGACTCGCCAAGAAACGAAGAGTTATGAGATGGGATATAGTTTTCGGAATAGCGTAAGCTATAGGTATGGGCTCCCAAAAATTTGAAATAGCTTTTGAGATAATTGCATTCACAAGCAATAAAGAAGGCATACTTCATTTTATAATATGTAATTTCTTGATTAATATACTTTTAAATTCAAAAGCGTTAAATTTAGTTACAGTACAACAATTTTAAATTAATTAATATATTACTAACGGAAAGCTTACAATTCTTCGTCTTCGTCCAAAGCTAAACCTTATTTAATTAACTTTTAATAAACGACTCAGAGTACAGTTTGAGATAAATCTTACCCTTTAGCGCGTTACCCTCTGGCGTACACCTTCCTTGGTCCAATAAACATTTGACATACGACATAACCAAACGTTTATTTTGTAAAATTTCATTTACATTTATATTGTCATATCTATCTGTATATTGCTCTGCATATACGAAAGCTACGACGGCAAACAAAACTAGAATAAACTTCATTATTTACGATTGTAGAAACAATGATGGCTTCGCACGTTGACTTCATTTATATATTTTCTGTAACAATCGCTAAACATTATTTTTAATAGGTTTAATTGTTGTTTCAATAGATAATTGCATCAATAAATTATAACCATAAGTATGATTCAATAGGAAAATTTACATAGATTATAGAATAATCTCTCTGTTTACATCTGGTTGTCTTTTGTCTATTATCAACTATAAACAATATAAAAGTTTTTTTTTGTATTTTTTTTAGCTATTCAAAGGGGGAACGCTGCAAGTATCTTCGGAACCTTACCTAAAGGGACTCCTTTTAATCTATAATATAAAAATGAATCGCAAAATGTGTTGGTAAGCGCATAACTCAACAACGCCTGGACCAATTTGGCCAATTCATTTTTTATAATATTCCTTGAAGTACCAGGATGGTTCTTACGAAGAGAAAAATTAAAAAAATTGAGTGGAAAAAGTCTAAAAACAACACTTTTCTATATTCCCATACAAAATTTTCGTAATAATACTTAAAAGACAATTTAAACTTTAATACCATATCATAAAGTTCAAGTGATAGTGGAGGGGTTCCGGGAAGGTAAATTTTTATTTTTGACATATTGTTTTTGTTGTCTTATCAACTTTCTTTTTTTATCTTACTAGCTAGACCGGTGTCCCGAATAGCAGAATAAGTATTTAAAAAAAAATAATAATCGACTGTTAGGCGGTACGATGTTCGCCAGGCCAGCTAGTAGATAATATATTTGAGTTATTATATGTTAAGGTTATTTATTTATTAATTGATTAGAACCCTCTAATTTAATTTAATTCAGTTTGTGAGCATAATATTATATTTTAAATTAATTATAAAAAAATAAATGAAACATCTGTTTATTATTGTAAGTATCAAATTTATGTAGATTATTTTCATATTATATGTTATATGCATTAGACGCTGTTAGACGAAGATATACTCTTCAATTTTTGGGTCTAATACTGCGTAATAATTGGACAATTCACATTGAAAAAATAATGCATTGCCGTCGCACGAAGAACGAGGTTGAAAATACCATTTACTAAATGCACAAATATACAGTATTTACAATATTGTAAATACCTACAAATCATAATAATAATTAAAATAGAAAATTAAAACAAATTTAAAAAGTAACTTTAACATTAGAATGGGAGCGAATTCCACAAGAAGATATTCGGAGGATCATACGAAGCATGCCGCGTCGTTGTCAAGCCGTGATTAGGGCTCATGGAGGCCACACACGTTACTGAAAGTCACAAAAGACGAATATTCAAACGATATAAGAATATTTCTTTGATGGACCTTTTTTATCACCAATTAGTTTTTCGTCTACAATGCACATTTTAATTTTTTTTTAATAAAAAAAATACAAATTGAATTTTTTTATTAATTGTAGTAATTAACAAATTAACAAGGTAAAAAATAGCGTACAAGTTAATTTAAATCTAATTTTAGTTTAAGCAATAGAAAGGAGAAAAATCTTGTTCCGCTAATTGTTTTGAGCAGTATATATATTTTTAATAAGTTCGGAATATTTAACTAAAACCAACCAATGCATAACCAACCATTTATTTAGAAAAATAAAACAAAATCTGGTCAAATAATATTTTAAACGGTTAAACCGGCAGACTTCGCGCGTTCCTCGTACTTCTTCCTGTATTTCCCTTCAGCGTCGTATTTGGCACAGAGCTCTTCCCAAATCTCTTTCTTCTTGTTGATGAGGTGCTCTATTATGGTGTACGTGCCCTTCTCTTGAGCCTCAGTGCATTTGGAACACCCTGTTTCGAGCGCCTCTTGGATGTGGTCTGTAAGGTAATTCGATAGAATTACATGTTTTGCAAGTGTAATTACTAGGTATATAACGAATTTTCCAAGGCGTAATGGGTCTTATTCTATCGTTGGTAAAGTTTTATCTTTGCTTCGAAGAGCAAATAATAAACGGCTCAAATATAAGAGTCTTTCCTACAACTTTGATTTCGTTCCCTTTGGAGTAGAGACTCTTGGGCCGTAGGATTCGAGTGCAAAGGCACTAATTAAAAATTAAAGTTGATAGTACCTGGTAGATAGTACCAGTGACCTCAGAGCTGGTGCTTTCCTCGCTCCTATAAGTATCGCAATACAACGAGGAAATGCTGCCAGCGTTAAAGGTACACTGCCACTGGGACCAAACTTTTATTAATTTCCTATTACTTTTATTAATTTACCATTATACCAAATAAATTTACCATTAATTTTATAAGACTGATCAGAAGGAAAAGAATGTTTTAAATTAATTAATAAAACCGACTCCGACTACTAACAACTTTTCTTTTGATATTTTTCGCTCTTTTACCTTTACCTTTGTTTTGTACATGATTATATTGTTCTTAAATATTAACAGAAATCATCGATCTGTATTTATATTTTTATATATTTGTTAAATACTAAAATAATCTACTTCGTTTAAAAAAATGTATTTGGAAAATAATTTGGGGCCAGGGACATCCACCCTTTTGTTGCCCCGAGGCCTCCAGACCTCTAAATACTGCCCTGATAACTGCTCATTTAGCTTTTGGTAGAAGCCAGAACAACTTAATTCGGCGTAAGAAACAATGACCTATCACTTTGAACTATCAAGTTTAATACGTTTACCAATGATTATAAATATCCCACCTTTCAATTCCTTTCCTTCAGGGCTGCATTTTCCTTTATCCAAGAGACAGTCGACATAAGCGCCCAGCAAACGTTCATTATCCAAAATCTCTTGCAAGTTAATATTATCATACTTATCGGTGTACTTCTCCGCAAACACCGCGACCAAAACACAGCAGAACACAATTAGTTTACCAGCCATCTGAAACATAATATTTTCACATTTACCTCAAAGCACGAACCATGGTTAAAACAAATAGTAGATCGAGGTATAAATGTAAAATTCGAGACGCCATACAACTCCGTATCATCAACTGTGAAATTTAGGTTAAGACTAGTTTCCCCGTGATGATATCCAGCTGTTTATGCAAAGGATTCATTATAAGCAAAGGAAATTTAAGAATTGAGAATCTTAACATTCTCGATCTTGCTCTGAACTAGGCTTACACTGTTCTCGAATAATACTGTCGTAGTGATTCCTTGTTAATTCTTATTCACAAATTTAACTGTAGTGATTACAATAATTAAATTAAAACACTTTAAACTGTTGAACCCACCGTCTCAAACTCGATCTCGGTAACTTATGCCTCTGAATGTAATAACAGAGTTTATATAGTGGTTATATCTAATTTACTAGTCAGATCGTTAGCTGTGAACCATTTGATGCATAAAATCTCGCGTACATGGTGTTCAGAAAATAGGAGTTTAAGATTTTGATGTAATAGGCAAAGAAGGGTTATGAACGGAAGATTGGTGGATTACCGAGGAGCTTAGACAAGCTAAGGTATTTAAAATATTAATGCGGCAAATTAAATATTTGCATGTACCTTTTTATCTATACACAAAGTTTGTTTAGAAAGCTTTATGTAACCCCAGTTTCTCTTAATATGAAAATATTTTTGTACGATTTACATTTTTAGAGCAGTGGTCAAACGGGTAGGATCCTCACTCAATGCCAGAGGGCGACTGCCTTTGCCGCCATTTTAAGAATTGGTACGCTATTTTCTTGAAAGACTCTAAGTCGAGAGCATATTAAGCAGTCAATATCGGTACTTATATTTCAATCTAAATATATATAGTATCAAGATATCTTTATGTATATATAGCCTTATGTATAAAAGCCTATAAACAAATGCCTACCTGGAAACGAAAGACTAGTAACGAGCTATAATCACAAAATAGTATTACAAACATAGATTTATTATATATTTATTGCGAAAATGTTCATAGAAAACAGCAGCGATAAACGAATTCTAAACTCAAATAAAGAGTATAAAAACCATTGATATACAAAAACCCAAGATGCACAATCAACGTCTAAAAAACGTCCTCAAAAAATGAGCGCAACATTCTAAATTGTGCGCTCATTTCAAATAGTCTCGCGTCTATAAGTGGAGTCGATGTTATTTATTTGTGTTTTTTTTATAAATAAATTTATGTACCCTTGAACTTTTTTGTGTGTAGTTTTTGACAAATATATTTACGCTATATAAAGTGTGGGTCAGGAGGTAGCCAATTTAACATTTTTTTTTAATTTAAAGAAAAAACTTTTTAACCGGATTAATGTTATGTATTATTATAAATTTACAACTATTTAACATCCAACACCTTTTGTCTTCAGTCACCGTGACCACTCACGCTGTAAAGCACCCGAAAAGTCGGATAAATTTAAAATTATGTTAAATAGTTGTAAATAAAAAAGTCATGTTCGACTCCACTCAATACCTTGTCCTACCGACCACGGTCGGTCGTAAAATTTTATTGCTTTAAGTACGTATACACTGCGTTGTAATAACAACTTTAAGCAATTCGCGTAAGGTTGATTTTGCAATAATATATGCTTGTAACATATACTGTTATGGACAGAAATAGTGTTTCGGGACACTTTCGAGCGTTACTTTTATTCGAGACTGTGCATCTTGGGTTTTTTGTATATCAATGATAAAAACAATTGTTTTTTTAAATATCATATGAAAAGTGAATGAGACAAACTATTTTAAATCTTCAATTAACGAAACAGTGGATTTATTTATTGGGAAACCGAAACGCCGTTGACCGAAGACATGCAAGAAAAACAGCAAATCGGTGGACTGAAAAGTGTTTAGGCTGACACATAGATGGAGAAACGAGTATTAAATTAATATGATTTTTAGTTAGCCCTATCCTTCAAGACACAGTTCCTGTTGTCAGACATCAGAGAATACTCGCTGGACAGATATTTTGCGCTGATCAAGAGGTAGTTGCTGACACTGAAACACACAAATCGTACTATAAAACGGTATCGAAAAATTTTATGACCGCTATAATCGTTGTTTCGCTTTCGAAGGCAACTGGAATTATCAAATCAAATTCTAAACAAAAAAAACATATTTTATTTTAGCCTGCGAACTATTCAGCCCACCTGTTATGTATAAGGATAAAATCCTAAAAGTACTAGAATAAATAATCAATATAATGACTCTGTAATAATATTAGTACAAGAACACATTCGTAATATTGCTTACATATACCTTGTCAATATATATTGTCATATATATTTTAAATAATAACTAGAAATATGGGCAATTTATTGATTTACAAAGAATTCAAACCGCAATTATAACGATTTCTGTAGAATTATGTAAATTAATAATTGTCAACTGATCTATATTATAAAAATAAGATAAAATATAATTTGCTACAGATTAAAAATGAAGGTTATTCTGTAATAGACTTACAGTTTGATAAATAGTTCTATACTTTTGGATGGATCAGAAACAGACCCAAAAATATGTTGTGCCCATTGAGACAGTTATCAGGGCTGCTAAGTACAGGGAACTGCATGAGTTCCTGCATTTGGCACAGAACAAGATAGGCATTTCCAGTAATGGATGATAAAATTCTTATTATTTAATACAACATACTAGAGGCCTGTTTCGGCTTGGCTTTGGATATAAATATGGCTCCTTCTGATCTGGGATATAATGTGTAGTGAGCAGCATTAAGTTACCTATTATCTAGTTGATAAAAGGGCCTGGAACTAGTGCTAGACAGGTTACTTCTAATTAATTTGCGATATTTGTTTTAAATTTAGTGTTGTTTGATGATTCGCTATTTTAAAAGAGTACCGAGTGTTTTTTACGCCAGATTTTCTCTCGGCCTACACCCTCTGTCTTCTTTGCCGTCGAGTAGAGATGTCTACAAATTCAAATTTAATGACGTGGAATAAGTGATACCTGTATCTTATGTTCCATAATAAACATATTTTATTTTTATTGGCGATACAATCTAGTGTTGAAATATTTATTTTCTTTATTTTATTTTTCCTCTCAAAGATCAGTCATGTTAAAAGAGCAATGAGATACTTAGTATTGTCTTTTCAGATACTTATGAAAATATGTTATAGAAAGGATATACAATATAATAATAATAATAAAGCCCGTTTAATTCTAAATCACGACAAAAAAATGATATATACATTATACAGCTTACATTTTTTACATTTTATACATTATTTTTATCTTGTTATCCTATATTATCTTTAGTACCGTCAATCGGGTAAAGGCCTCCTCCAGTTTTTTCCAACTGCCTCTGTCTTTCTTTCTCCATGCGCTTCCTGCTACCGCTTCTATTTCTTCTATGCACCTATTTTTGGGGCGCCACAGTTATCTTTCATCAACCTTTTATCTGTGTGTCTTGCTATATGCCCCGCCCATATGCTTCCATGAAAATTGCTAAAGACTATATAAATGTCTCAACAAAAATGTGATCTAAACGCACGAGTCAATTTGTGTAAATAAATAAAATATGAAACACCCTATATTATATAATATTAATTATAATGCATAAAAAACAGACCTTTGTTTAAACTTAAACCTCAATTTTACAATGCCATTGAGGTTTTTTACAATATAATGAGGTTTTTTGGGAAATGTTCTGAGTATAATTAAAGGAAATATCCAAGGTGTTTCTTACTAATTCACTTCTAATGTCGAGATTTAAACGTACAATAGTGCTAATTAATGAAAATACACGCTTGTCGGACTAAAACATCTATATTTTTAATTTTTAATGTAACAATTATATAAAGCTCGTTGTCTAAATTGCAAAATAAATTGTAAAAAACGTTAATTAAACTGTAAATAATTGTGATTCGCAATTTCTGTGTTTGCCAACGCAAAATATTTGTTTCAACGGGGAATAAAGTGTTTAATACATATTAAAGGGGTTGGCTAAACCAGGGTGGCGGACGTTTTCCATTTTTATTTTCGGTAAAATTTTCTTCCGATGTTGTTATTGTGAATAGTCTCTACAAACACAAGAAAACATCACACGTCCATGTTAACATTGTTATTAATATTGATTATAAAAAATAATTATTCATGAATGCACTGATTGAATCGGTTTTTAATGAGCGTTAAATAAGTGTTACAGTGTAATAAAACCTATTAGTTTATTTTTTTTCTGAGGAATGATACAATCTATGGTTCGAAATCTATGGTAGAGAAACCATAGATGTCACTACTATACAAATGCAAAATCCAAACAAGGTCTGGACTTAGAATCTCACTCTATCCACACCTGTGTCTGTGGTAAATGGCTCTCTGTGTATCGCATTAATGTTTATTAAGTCTGGCCATCTAAAAGATAAAAGTTGGCTCATTTAAATCAATTTTTCAATTAGATATTAAGAATAACAAGACAAGTGCAACAAGGAAAGCAAACTGCTAAACATTAAGATCAGACTATGCATTTCGGACAATTATCACTGTTTACTACTCTTCTTGTTCAGTACAGCGTCAGTGAGTTTCAATACCGCGCTTGCTCTCACAGCTATAGTTTTCTCAATTCGACTTATTTGTGAAGTATAACATGATTTATAACGTATTGAACAGTTTTTGCTTATTTGGCAAGTTTTTCATCTTTGCAAATAATACTTTAAGTATGAAGACATTTTAGTTTTCTGTTGTCTGTATATAATTGGCGTAATAAAAATACAAGACCATCGTACGTGGTCTTTCAACACAGAAGTTTCTAAACTACGATGAACCTACCTTGTAGTTTATAATTTTAATTTCAATAATATACAACGTAACTAATATTGATCCGAGTCAATTTGATATTTTCTAAATTCGTTTAACCCAGTTAAGTCACAAGATAAACTACGCAGATAGATACATTTCCTTTGAAGTTAAATTTTCAGAGACCTCTGATATTTGAACT